TGTATGCTTATTTATTTATTGAGCATTTATTTATTTCTGTATTTATTTTTAAATATGGCAGAGTTGGTCCTCCATACACGTTAGCTCATATATGAGTCAATGAAGGTGAGCAAATACTTTTGGCAATTTAGTGTTTATGAAAACTTTACTCTGATCTGTTTTTGTTTTTCTTAAAAATGAATTTTTCTTTGCATATATTTAAACTTAGTTTTAATTTTTGATTGAAAAGTTGATTCTGACAAGAACTTCGTCCATTTAATATGATGCTGTTAAAAACGCCCAGCACTAAATCAGGCCTTAACAAGAACATCAGCAAAAACTGGAATAGGTCATCAAATTAGTTTTTTACATAGTCTTCAAAAAGAATAAACATGTTAACCAATTTACACTTTTCATTTGTTGATGTTATTTTAACTACTCAATTTAAAGCTTTAACACTCTAATATGTGATTTTAAACTACTGTCTTTAAATTCACCTTTGCTTCAGTACTTTTTAAAGCTTTCCTCCAATAAAAGCAGAATATTTGATTTAAAGAACAGGAGCTTTACCTGGTTGGTTGAATTAAAAGGACGGCATCAGCTTCCTTTAGTATTTTTTTCTAATTAATTGCAAGGTGATAAAATCTAAAAGAAAAGGAGAAAAAAAATGAACAGCCTCTTGACTGGTCCTCTGATTTCTGACAGGTATGTTGGTGAGATTATCTCAGAGGGTGAAGCAGATATGAGACAAAACGATGCTTACCTGTTCAGTCTGGATGATAAGGTAGGGTACTGATCCTCTTTGACAAAAGTGTATCTATAAAACCTTCTCTTTAGAGTTATGTGCTCTTTCATGTCGCTCTCTGTTGGTTGAAACGTAACAAAGTCTTTAGAAAATACCATTAAATATATACAGAATGAGCAGAGTCTTTAGCTGTGTATTTTTTATCTCTCTTCAAGCCTTTCTGTATTTTTCCTCCAGCCTGAGGATCAGTACTGCATCGATGCCCGTTTCTATGGAAACATCAGCCGCTTCCTGAACCACATGTGTGAGCCCAACCTGTTCGCCTGCCGAGTCTTCACAACACACCAGGACCTTCGGTTCCCACACATCGCCTTCTTTGCCAGTGAAAACATCAAGGCTGGAGAAGAGCTCGGGTAATCTGCTTTTCTTCCTCTTAAAGGAGAACGTGGAAAAGACCAGAGGGAGCATACCTTTGATTTATTTTAAAAGTGAACAATGTTAGAAACTAGTTGGATTCATCTATCAGTAATTAACATCCACAGAAATGAAAATCTATCCTCAGATTTATATTTTTTAAACTCGGACTAATACATGTACTTTACTGATACTTCTTCAGGGAAAACTTCTTCCTCTGTTTTACAGAAGATGTTTAATCAGCTTGCTAATGTAAGGCACACTGGAGTGTTTTTACACATCGTCAAAGTGGAATATCATCAGCTGTGATCAGAGAAAAGTTTATATATATTAGGGAC